TTGGGGTCTTGTTCATGAGGTCACAGATACAAGTGGTGGAAATTAGTTTCTTTCAAAGGGAGGCTGGATTCTTCCCTTAGAGATAAGGTGAGATGTTTGTTCATCCGAGGGGGATGGAGTAAAGCCTCTGCTCCTCAACATCAGAAGGAGTCCTACTTGATGCCTCCTAGCTGAGGTGTTTCAGGCATATCGTACTGGGATGAGGCACCAGGTCATACCCAGGATATGCTGGAGAGATTATATCTGTCAGTTGACGTGGGAACAATGCAGAGGTGGTCAGGGTGAGGGAAGTCTGGGCTTCTCTGCAAAGACTGCTGCTCCTGCGAGCCAAACCTGAATGCAGGGCTGCAATAATATAGCATGCAATACTAATGACAACAATATCCATTCATTTTTATCTGCTTCATAACAACAACAAAGAAATAATCTTTCTTTGTTAATGTTACTTATAGAGTGGGGTCATTATAAGACAAGTGACTGCTATCAGTTCATAGCTACGTCTTTCTTTTTCTGTCACGTACCAGTATTTCAAATGTTTGGATTACACATGAAAACACGACTGGTTTGATATTCACTTTAATTAACTTTTTATTGCTCTCTTGATTCCAGTGTCAGTCACAACAATGATGGATGACTCTTTGTGTTTATATTTTATTAAAATTGTTATTAGGAATCCACAGATAAATGCAAAGTCACTGCATTAAATCACACTGAGAAGTTTTTACGTTCTATTTGATATCTTTGGACTTTGTAGAGAAAACAGAGACAACAACACACGATCCTACTGCGTGCTGTAAATATGTGAAGACTTTAATAAGCTCATATGATGGTTTCATCTTGGTGCTAAAACACCAACAGCCTTCTGCAGTGAAACATGATTTGAATAGAATAGAATAGAATAGAATAGAATAGAATAGAATAGAATTATCCTTTAATTGTCCCACAAGGGGAAATGTGGTTGTAACAGCAGCAAAAACAAAACAAAACCCACACATGTACAAACAGAACAGGACACAGAACAGAAACACACAATTTTCACATGTTTACATCATGGACAATAGTTACCAAAACAGAGCACTGTGCAGTTATTAAAATGAAAGTACAGATAAGTGGCAAACCCAGTGTGTCTTTTACTTGTGTTTACAGGTCAGTGTTGATGTCTTCAAGGGCTTCCCTGATGAAGACAGCATTGTCAACTACACCCTGAATCAGGCTTACCGGGACAACGTTTCTGTGTTTGCCAGTGAGTCGCCTTCGCATGTCCGACTGTGATCATAGCATCTAATGCATTTAAAGTGCAGGAGTGAGGTGGACATGCTCTAGATTTTCACAATGTCCTGTTTGTTCTTTGCTTGCAAAAAGGTCCCTTGTGTACCCACAGACCTTAGACTGCTTCCAGCTAGAGGTCAGCTGACTCCTGTCAGCTGACCTCCCTTTGGGCATATCTCCACTGAAGCTTCTTCAGGTCTAAAACCAATCGCTCCCAGATTATTTGCCGTAGTGAGAGTTGTCCATTATGAGGGTCGTTGACCCCCTAATGATCCTCTACCTAATCACATGAGCCAAGGTGTGAAAACGAGTGTAGGTCACAATCACCATTGTGGACCCACTGTGAAACCTGGCCCCACCCAATCGTGTGTTTTCTGAGGTCAAAAGGCCCAGGATGTGAGTGGGCGTTAAGGCATCTGGGAAGGATCTGAAAACGTATATGAGCGTGCCCCACACTGCTCCCCCTGGTGGATACACATGACATTACCTCTTGATTTCCTAATTGCAGTTTAGGGGCGTTACTACTCATGGTTGCATCATTCACATCACAGGCGGGGATATCACTGCGCTCACCCATCAACCAGCAGTCAGTCAGGATCAGTCCTGTCAGGGATGAGGCAGCTGTTTCTGTTTCTATATTATTCAGAGTCGTTCATAATCAAATGAAGCATATTAAATGCTCACATCAGAGT